TCTCCTCATTGTACTATGTACTGTTGTTGTACGTCGTTACTGGTTTAGCTTCTAGCTCACCTTGTTTAGAGATTCGGAATGAAGCTCTAATAAGGCTGAAGATTAGAGCTCTAAATGTGGGTTAAGGTTCGAATTAGGGTCACAAAAATATGTCAAAAATATAGTGTAGCTTTAAGAAAGCATATATTAATTCGTATGTGGAATTAATCTGTAAGCAAACCGAGCGAATTGAAATTTCTGCAGAGTAGCTTTAGGGAATTTTTCATGAAAAAGAAATGAAACAGTAGGACTGTATTTATAGGAATAGGATTTGGTTAGGACTCAAATGAGACTCGTGCGAGTCTCTTTTTTCAACTATGTGAGTCTGTTTGAAAATAAAATGAAAATGGATTTGTGATTTTGGTTTGAAATAAATCTGAAATTTGCTGAAAATTTGTTATTGAGGCTTGCAATGCATGTGAAAAGTGGTCCTATTATGATGTATGAAATAACTTAATTGTATGATGATGTGGTAATGATTGTAACTAACTCAACACTTTTGCTTTTGTCTTATATGTTACACATATGATGTGGTGTTTTCCGCAAGTATACGGAGTGTATCAGAGTAATATAAAAGGTTATCGAATCTACAAAGACCTAATGGTCAATCTATCGTCTTCTATTGCTACTGTGTTTATCTAAGGCGATCGTAAAATGGTTTTAGAATAGGAACAAAATAAAACAATAAAATTTTAACAAATTCAAAGATGTAATACTGAAATGCGGCTTTCATCGAACAACAATACTCTTATTATTTCTAAACATAACTACTTTCGGGGCAATATTTTTTTCCTTGAAAAAGATTTAATTATAAAGGAACAATTGCTTCCGCGTATTCGGTACTAGATTTTACTCTCTATACTTTACTGTCCGCTCTCGCGTGCCCGGTTATGTTTGCGTTAAAGTAGCAAATCTTTTTAGTAACCAGATGCTTTTAATCAATTGAAAAGTGGTTTTGATTAAAAAATTTAACTTAAAAGGGTTGTCGGCTTTCGCTCGGGCAACCGTATTCTAAACTTATAAATGCATCCGAAAATAGTTTTAAAATCACGTTATAGAAATATTGAATTTTCCTAATTAATTAACAAAGTGCTTTCACGGTGTTTTTTTAACCAAAAACTAACCAATTTTAATGTTAGGTGTTAGACAGCTTTCGATCTTATCCGACGTATCACGATTCTACTTTCGTAGTAACCGATCAAATTAATTTCGGAAAAATTGAATTAAAATCAAAATAACTCCAATAGTAATCCTAAAGAAACAATAAACATAGTACTGTCGAATCGATGATCCTCACATTCCAGCACTAATGGATTAGTCAGACATATTCATGGTGAACAGTTTACCTTTTGTTTGAAATACGAAATTAAACATATTAAGTGATTTAATTAAAGTAGAGAACATGCAATGCAAATAAATTAAGTAAGGAAAGGAAGTAAGGCGAGGAAATAAAGTAAGGCGAAGTAAATAGACAAAACAAATAACATGTAAAGAATACTTAACATAATAAGAATCTGCTTCAAATGGAGACTTGAATTTGGTACAAAGTAAATTTACGGAAATAACTTGAACAAAAATGAAAATGTTGGCAAGATTAACTGCTACAAATAAAGTGCTTCAAACACAATAACAACAACAGTGCAATAATTCTCATATGTGAAGAATTAGAGCTTTAAGAATGTAAGTATATGGCCTAAGTTGTACTAAGCTTGGATCCTTCAAAAGTGAAATCTAACATCTTTTTATAATGGTACCAAGCCTTGGAGATCAAACTACTATTGTTGAATTCGTGTGAGAGAAAAGAGGAGTGATGAGGTGACCTCTCCAACTTCCTTTGACTGAGGTGAATTTTTCAAGGATGGCGACTGCCATCCCTTTGACTGAGGTGACCTAGTCTTTGTGACCGTTGGGTCGTGGGACACGTCATCCACCTCGTGGCTACCTCCATGGTGAACGCCATGTTGGACGCTGTGTGTGCAAATTGCTCTTTATTCTCCGTTTTTCAGTCGATTCGCTTCGTTTCTTCGTGTACGACTCTCCCTTGGTTATGTACTTGAAATACAGACAAAATACTCGCATAATACTAGAAATGAAAGAAAAATAATAATAATAAAACATGTGCGAGTCGAGCCAAATATGCGGTGTGTTTCGGTGTTATCAACATGTGATGGTGATTGATGAGCATGGAGACTTCATGGGTAGCATGATGAAAATGCTTGGCTTGGTCTGATGAACTGAAGGCAAGGCATGAAATATTGATGTTGAAGCTTGTTGCAGCTTGGCGCACATGGATAAGAATAAAGCAAATGAAGCTTCTTTTGTCATTTATGTTTTCTGTCATTCATGTATATGTAATGTGATTCCCATGGATGCACATGTGATGTAATGGAGTGATGTATAAAACCGTGTACTGAGTACACTATTGTAAATCAAAATTCAAATAGAAATTCAACTTATTTAATTGCAGGTAATTTTGTCTTATTCTAAAAAACAAACATTTAATCTTGCCTTGTATCATGAGAACACAAGATAAACTAAATACAAACTTAAATAAATATTAAAAAAAAAACTCAATGCTAAATAAAAACAAAAGACAAGTTAAGATGCAATTAGTAATGAAAGGATCAAAGACAAAAGTCAACATTCTTGACTTTTGTCTCATTCTCAAGTATATGCTAATGAATGCACAAAAAATGAAAACAAAATGCAATGCAAATAAACTAGCAATGAAAGTAAAACAATAATTGAAATTTTGACCTTTGACTTTCAACCCAATAATATGCTGATGGATGACAACAATGCAGAAGAAACATGAGTAAAGAATAAGATGCAAATAGTCACTCTTACAAAGATTCAGATGATAAACAATACTCTTAAGTGTCATCAATATAAACTTTGAGCTTGATGCGAATGAAGTAGATAATGTCATGAGACTAGGGGATACTCTTGATTCCTCAGTCTACAGATGAATGAACGCATGCGAATAAGATGAGATGAAATGCCAGAACCCTGACCTTTCACTAAAACATTAATGAATGTCTACGCCTGATGGGATGCATGATAAAATGAAATGATCATGCTATGCTGATGCGAATGAAAAACTTAGGATGAAATTTAGGGCATGACACTAAGGATGTTGAGAAAACAATACAGGAGATCGACCAAAGTCTCTTGACAAAGACAATTAGAGGGTTCAAATGCAGTTATCAACATGATGGGTGGTTCACAATAGTTTCAACATTGAAGACGCATGGAAGCAAGTTAGAGTGCTAAAGCCCACACAATGAGATACATGTCAAATTTTGTGGGGATAACCATTGTCGATGATTACTATTGTATTAGTATATATAGTCGATCTCATTGTAGGGATCAAGGTCGTAAATTTTATTTTACTCTTTAGAACTAAAATATCAAAGTCACAAAGAGAAACAGTTTGTGAGAGAAAATATATGTATGTGTCCCTTCCTTAAGTCTTTTCAATTAAAGCATTTATTTTCTTTTATGACATTTGTCATGCTTTTTGTCTGTTTTCTTCTTCCAAAGCAATTTTGCATTATTTCAATTGAAATTTACGTTCAGTTCGTTAATATTCAAACATTTAAGATTCAATCACACACACTTTTCTTTGCACTATTCTGCACAAATTGTCTTTGAAATTTTTTTGAGTTCAATCTCTTAAATAAATTAAAACTCGTGATTGTTTATTAAAAATAACAATAAACACCCGTCACCCTGCATTTTATATTTTTTAGGTTGTTGAATTAAAATCAAATAGTTTAAATTTTAAATTAAATATTTTTATTTTAATATAAATTAAAAATAATATTTATATTTTAACTGTTAATCCAACCATTGAAAAAATGCCGAATGTATAAATGCTACAAATATTGACCAAATGGAATTGGAACCTCATACATATATGAATGCTGAAAACTCGCTATACCATATGGCCAGCAATATTGTCTGCCATTGAGATTAATTAAAGATTCGCTCCATATTACTATAATGCCACTAGCCCAATATATGTATGCCTCCTTCATTCATCCAACAGCTTCTATTCGCAGCTGTCACCACCCATCATTACATTACAAATGTTAAATGAATTGAAACTAACTTTGATCAATGTATATATTCCTAGGACGGTTTCAAATATAGCCTTAGATAATGATGTGACTTGTTTCCTTGATTTTGGCTATATGACCCTCCAATGAAATTAATAAAGCTAAACTCCACTCTCTTTTTTTAGGCAAAACAAAACTCAAATCCACTCTTATCTTTCAAGTTCAAGAAAAGCCAAATCACATAAAAACTTTAGCATTTGTACTCTAACCTAATTTAATCCATGCTTTAAACCATTATTAAAGTAGTAGTAGTTCATAAACATCACCGTCTCAAGTCTCAACCAAGTCAATGCCATGCCGTGTGAGACCCACACCATTTTTATTCGGAACATTCTTTGCCAACTTATCATCGTCACCGTATTACGATACCATGCAGGCGCAACATCTCATATCCTCTTTTCACTTACCCCTTCCAAATTTCAAAATTCAATCCCAACTTTATCAACAAACTTTAGCCACAATTAAACTCAAACAAAAAGGCATCCATATAATTTAACCACACTTTAGCTCTAACAAAGAAAAAGATATCCCAAATCTCAACTAACCCCATCACAAATACATACAACAATTCTATTATTCTATCTATCAATAACCAAATTAAAGACTGGTTTTACATTTAAAAGATAAATAAATCTCATGCGGTAGTGAAAAAAAAAACACTCATGCAAGTTAACGTTAATTACACCATAAGAAAACCACCTGAATTCAATTAAGGATAATAATGTGTCCATTCACCAAATTAAAAAGATAATAACTTGGGATTTACGTTTAATCATTTTTTTACCAAAAAAAAAATGTAATAGGGACTTGAAGGTAATTTTGCAATTCCGACAAAGGCCACTACTTAATAATCCAACTAATTCCTAACTTCCTCTTCGATCGGAACCCGTCCTTGGCCGCGCCGGCGACATCATGAACGGCGGAGTTGTGCTTTCCGCCTGATGTAAAAAACAAAAGTGAGTCCTTCTTCCCATCGCTATGGCTCCTGAGCAACAAATCCCGGAACTTCCACCGCTTTGACTCCGACTCGGTGGAGCTGTTCTTTTTGCAAGGTGGGGTCCACACGCAGTACGAACCCGCTGCCACACCGTCGAGCTCTTTTCCTTTTCCGTCGTCTTCCATGAGTTTCTTCAGGGGTAAACGACGACGGCGAGGTACCGTTTCAGGGAGAACATGAGACCGTAAAACGACGCCGTTGAGCAACGATTGGTCGAAGAGTGGGTATGTGGGTGTGATCTGACCGTTGTGGAAAATGTCGTCGGCGGAGACAGTGTCAGAATCAGTGGAAAGGAAAGTGAAGTCGAATTCGAAATTATCATTGACAGTGTCGTTTGGTTGGGAGGAGTCTAGAAGTGTGTCGTCTGTGTGGATGACTCTGGTTGCTATTTGAGCCAAAGTGTCGGAGGAGTAACTGCTGAAGCTTGGGGAAGAAAATTGGTGATGGAGAGGGTCTGTTTCCATCGTCATGGTTCAGTTTCAGAAGAAGAAAGTGAAGAGAAGGTTCTAGGGTGTGGTATTTATAAGAGGGAGTGGAATGGGTGCTATGGTATTATGGTTTGTTTTTCCAATGTTATTAAAATTGTACGGTTTGTTTAGTGTGGAATTTGGAATGTTGAGAACCAATGATCTACCCTGCCCTTGTTATTATTGCAAAAGGACAGCGTGATAATGGGGACTACGGGAGAAACGACTGTTTAAATTTTAAGATAGATAAAAATTCAACTATTTGATTTGATCTTGAAGAGACCGTCTAAGTAGTGTTTAATAAGTCTAAGGGTCATATTAACTTGTGTTTTAAATACAAAATTAAGAAACAAAAAATACTAAAAGCATAGTAACTATTTATATTGAAAAAAAAAGGAATATTCTAAAGCATTCGTTTCTGAAAGAATTTGAACTAATTGTGCCACACTTGAGCGTTTCTGTCCAATCGCTTTTATTTATAAAAAAAATTAATACACAATTTATTAAATAGAATTTTGACACCTCAAAACATTCTTCGTGATCAGATCTGGCGCGAGATTCTTCACCCACAGAACATCCCTACACCCTTAGCTATGAAGGCAGATGTAATAAGTCCTGAACCTAGTAAATGGTGCAAGTTTTATAAAGTCATAAGGTACTACAGAGAAAACTGTTACCAACTCAAGATAGATATCGAGAGGTTAATCCATAAGGGACACCTCAAGAAGTACATCAAGGGTAACTCCTCACGTGGGCCAAACAAATCCAACTCTCGTGGGAAAGACTACACATGGAGTCTCCGGCCCACCAAGGTGATGGAGACATCCCAAGGAGAGGGCAACAAAGTCGTGCACCATACGCTCAACAACATTGTATGAGGAGAAATGACCTCCCTAACGATGGAAGTGAAGCAAGACAAAGACGCCAGAAGCCACCAACCCCTTCTCTTGGAAGGATGCAGTTGCATCCACCCTCATAATAATGACTCATGGTCATTACCGTTAGATGTGACGAATGAGAGATCAAAAAATTTCTCATAGACCAAGGAAGTTCTAAAGATATTCTATATTGTGATGCGTTTGAAAGACTCTACCTCGACCAAAATTATCTAAAACCCTTTAAAGGATCGCTAGTTGGATTCTCTGGGAACAGGTGCAAGTGAAAGGCTATATCATGCTAAATACCAACTTTGGAAAGCAGGATCAAGCCGAAGAGATTAAGGTCAGTTATTTAGTTATTAATGTCCCATTTTCTTACAATATGATTATAGAGCGGCCAAATTTTAATCAGTTGGGAGACGTCTTGCCCACTTTGTATTTATGCATGAAGTACCCGCTCTCTAATGGGAAAGTGAGAGTTACAAGAGGAGATCTCTTAAAAATATTACATAGAGAGCCTCAAGCTAAAAAGAGCCCTCACCAAGATGCAAAAGCTAAGCAAGTGGGCTCAGGAATACATCCTCCAGGTGAAGCCTATAAAGGTGATGTGGCTTCCCCTCCAATAAGTGAGGAGACCGAATATTGAAACCCATAATGAATTTCCTATGGTGCCACCTTTCCTATTGTCTTTTTTTCTTTACTACTTTTTAGTCATTTTGTTGTAAGTTTTCTTATGCGAGTATTGTATCTCTACCATTTGTAAGGACATGTTATTTTATGGGGTAAAATCTTATCCCATGTACTTTACATGGAGGAGGGGATTTTAATGAGGCCCCTCATCTTATTATTTTAGAGGATCTATGTTTGCTAGCTATTCCTTTTTTCGCATAAATCATAAGAGCTATGGAGAAGATCAGCCTTAGAGGCAATCAAAATGATGAATCCTTAAGTGGATCTTTGCTACCCTACGAGGCGGTCAAAATGTTAGATCCCTAAGTGAGAGTCTTTGTGTCCTGTGAGGCAATTAAAATGTTAGATTCCTTAAGTGAGATCCTTTCCGCCTATAAGGTGATACAAATGTAGGATCCCTAAGTGGGGTCCTTTCCGCCCCATTAGGCGATCTAAACGCTGGATTCCCTAAGTTAGATTTTTGATTGCCCATGAGGAGATCAAAATAATGGATCCCTAAGTGGGATCTTTATCGCCCTGTGAGGCGATCAAAATGTTGGAGTCCCCAAGTGGGATCCTTATCGCCTTATGGGACAATCAAAATGCTAGAAATCTAAGTGGGATCCTTATCGCCTTATGGGACAATCAAAATGCTAGAAATCTAAGTGGGATCCTTTCCACCCACGAGGCGATCAAAATGTTGGATTTATTAAGTGGGATCCTTACCGCTCATGAGGCGATCGAAATGATAGATCCCTAATGTTGCACCCTAAAAATTTGCCCAACCTTATTCACTTGGTTTATGTTTCAATATCATTAGCATTTGCATATAGAGTCATGTACATAGACTAACCATCTGCATAGCATAAGCATAGCAAGTCATTCAACAGGGGGACCAATCATTATTCTCATCTCTAGAAGCCTATCAAGAGGTTATTATCCTAATTCCATCTCATTCAAGTCATCAGAAAAGAATTTGAAAGCAGAGAGTTCAGCAGATCAAGCCTTGAGCCTATCCCCTATCTGAGGGCATCTGAGGGTCAACAGGGAGGTTATGAGTGGTGAATGGAGAGCATGGGGAGTATCTAGACATCTTGGAGGACTTAGAAAGCCATTTGGAGAAGAAAACAAGTTGTTGGTATGATCACAAGAATTGCAGTTGAAGACAGTTGACTAGGGTTTCATCTGGGTCAACCCTAGGTCAACCCTAGGTCAATTGACTGATTTAAAGGCATTCGGGGCTATTGGAGAGATGTGGGGTTCATCATTTGACACGGAGAACAAGGATATATTGTTATGTTAAGAAGAATTCAAGAAAAATCAAGAAGAATAGAGGGTGAAAAGTCAAGGTTCCTAGGGTGAAATCCCTTGTTTTTCACTGATTTGTCAAAGAAGATAAGTTGAAATACAAGCCTCATCTCACCTAATGGTGGTCATGAGACTTGTAGAGGATGTTATTAGCTTTAATTTGAGTGGTGGAAGTTCTTGAGAAGATTTCTAGAACTCAAGTTATGGCTCTTGCAAGTTAGGGGTCACCAGATGGCACTGAAATTTGTCTGTGCAAGTTGACTGTCTTCTGACAAACTTTTGGCCCTCAAGGATAATTCAAATGGACTTTGAACAAGCAAGAGAGTTGTTCCTCATTGTCTCCCCTTTCCAAAAAGGTATGGTATGCCTTCGTATGATTTAGGGAACTCTACTTATGGCTTGTGCAAGACAGGGGTATTTTGGTAATTTGGAATTACAGGTCATTTTTAGCCAATGCCCCAAAACTCCTACAAGGAAGCTTCAAATGGAAAACTTCCCAACATCAAAGTTGCTCAAAATGGGATTTTAAGGCTAGATAAGATGTTGTGAGAGTTTGAAAATGCATGGAGCATGGATATTTTAAAATGGTCAAAATGGCTTGTAAATGGCTTATAAGTTGAAAAAGTTGGAATTGAATTTTGGTTTGAGAGATCTACAAATCCAAAATGGGGCATATGATAGATGATTTTGATTGGAAACATCATTTTGAGAACAATGGTTTAGCCACATTTTTGAGTTTAGGCTTAAAAATTGGAGTTTCTTTGTAAATTTGTTATTTGCACTTTAAGGCATCAAAAGGAAAGATGAGAAAATGCTACATAAAGGTTTGTAAGACCTTATTTTCATGTCATAATACCATATGAGGAGAATTTAAGTAAGATTGCATGGTTTATCATGAGATGGCATGAGATTCACTCAAGATGACAAATTCAAAATCTCATTACGTGATACATTCTAGAAACTTCATGGAAGGTTCTACAAACTTCCACACATTTCTATTCTCATCTATATAAGCCCTAGAGTGACTCCATGCATTGGTTGGTGATTCTAAAAGCTTGCATGCTACACTTTGATTCCTTCACTCCAAAATTGCATTTTCATTCCAAACTCCATTAAAACACCATCAATCACTACAATTCTGATCATCATCATCATCTATAATCAACATTGAGCATTTGGCAAAGGAAAGGCTCAAGAATTCGTGGCTGGATTATGAGATCTCCAACTTCACTCCAACTTGCATGAAGAGTTGAATAGGTTGATTCAAGAAGATAGAACAAGAACTACTGCAACCAGAGGCTTCAACATTCATCAAAGACCATACAAAGCAATTGGCAAGGTCTGAATTGGAGGAGAACCATCATCACCATCATCACTTGCAAGGTATGCATTTTCTCATGAAACTCTCTATTTATCCATAGTTCAAGCATGTTGTTAGGAGAAATCTAATAGAGACCAATTAGGGATGTTGTATGATGAGTTTAAGGGCTGTTTGTGAGGTTTGCTTCCATGGTGTCAATTCTTTAATGATCAAGAACTCACGATTTAGTGTACTATAATCTTAGGTATTAGGCTTAGGATAATCCCCATAAGATGTAGTACATGATAGGTTAATATGAGACCATTTGATTACCATGCAAACTAAGGTGCGAAAATGGTGACCACCCCTTGTAGCCTTCGTATTTCTTTCTTGAGGGAGAGTTAGAGAATTCTAGTACCATGGCTGTGTAGAGGGAGAAGAGTAGATGAGTTTTCATCTTTGGATCGTGAAAAATGGTGGAGAAATGAGAGAGTTAGAGAGGGTGGAAGTTGCTTGCATGAGTTCTTTTTTTTAGAAACCCTAAGTGTCCAAGGTAGAAGAGATAATCTCTACCATTGATTCATGTTGGGATATTTGACTTTGTCCCTCAATCCAACGGCCTAGATTTTATTAAACTTCAAAAATTCATAACTAAATGGAAAATGCATATTTTTAACTCATTCTTTTTTTAATATTTTCCTTAACATGTCTAGAAAATTAAAAAAATATAAAAATTGCATTTTATATTTTTTTCGCATTTTCCACATATTTTACAAATAAATGCATATTTTGAAGGTTTTATTTCATACATGATCTTGTAGATTTTTGTTCTTACACTTAGAAATAGA